GGTGACCTCCACGTCCCATCTCCTTGATGTCCCCAAACCCTTGGGTTCTCCAACCCTTGGTGGCCCCCATGACCCACATGGAGCTCCTTGACCCCCACCTCGTCCCCTTGACCCCCAACCTGTCCCTCTGCCCCACAGATCTTGGGGGTGACGGACCCCAAAGGGACCAAACGCTACGTGGCGGCCGCCTTCCCCAGTGCCTGTGGGAAGACCAACCTGGCCATGATGACCCCGGCCTTGCCCGGGTGGCGCGTCCAGTGCGTGGGCGACGACATCGCTTGGATGAAGTTCGATGACGAAGGTGACCTCAAGTTCTCCTGGCCCTGGTGGCCCCCGTGGGCCATGGGTTGGTCAACGTTGACGTGGGGTGGGGTCTCCTGGTCCTGCTGGTCCCAATGACCCACGTTTTTGCGGCCACAAGACTCTTTGGGTCTTCTGGGCGTGGTGGCCCCATGACCCTCAGGTTCTCCTGGCCCTGGTGGCCCCGGTGGGCCATGGGTTGGTCAATGTTGACGTGGGGTGGGGTCTCCTGGTCCTGCTGGTCCCAATGACCCACGTTTTTGCGGCCACAAGACTCTTTGGGTCTTCTGGGCGTGGTGGCCCCATGACCCTCAGGTTCTCCTGGCCCTGGTGGCCCCGGTGGGCCATGGGTTGGTCAATGTTGACGTGGGGTGGGGTCTCCTGGTCCTGCTGGTCCCAATGACCCACGTTTTTGCGGCCACAAGACTCTTTGGGTCTTCTGGGCGTGGTGGCCCCATGACCCTCAGGTTCTCCTGGCCCTGGTGGCCCCGGTGGGCCATGGGTTGGTCAATGTTGACGTGGGGTGGGGTCTCCTGGTCCTGCTGGTCCCAATGACCCACGTTTTTGCGGCCACAAGACTCTTTGGGTCTTCTGGGCGTGGTGGCCCCATGACCCTCAGGTTCTCCTGGCCCTGGTGGCCCCGGTGGGCCATGGGTTGGTCAATGTTGACGTGGGGTGGGGTCTCCTGGTCCTGATGGTCCTGTTGACCCACATTTTTGGTGGCCACAAGACTCTTGGGGTCTTCTGGGGGTGGTAGCCACAGGACCCTGAGGTTCTCCTGGCTCTGGTGGCTCCTGTGGGTCATGGGTTGGTCAACATTGATGTGGGGTGGGGTCTCCTGGTCCTGCTGGTTGCCCCATAACTACGTCCAACCACCTCGCAACCCCACAACTCCACCTTCTATGGTCCCACCAGCCCCATAACCACGTTCTCTTCCATAGATCCTGGTGACCTCCACGTCCCATCTCCTTGATGTCCCCAAACCCTTGGGTTCTCCAACCCTTGGTGGCCCCCATGACCCACATGGAGCTCCTTGACCCCCACCTCGTCCCCTTGACCCCCAACTTGTCCCTCTGCCCCACAGATCTTGGGGGTGACGGACCCCAAAGGGACCAAACGCTACGTGGCGGCCGCCTTCCCCAGTGCCTGTGGGAAGACCAACCTGGCCATGATGACCCCGGCCTTGCCCGGGTGGCGCGTCCAGTGCGTGGGCGACGACATCGCCTGGATGAAGTTCGATGACGAAGGTGACCTCAAGTTCTCCTGGCCCTGGTGGCCCCCGTGGGCCATGGGTTGGTCAACGTTGACGTGGGGTGGGGTCTCCTGGTCCTGCTGGTCCTGATGACCCACGTTTTTGGTGGCCACAGGCCTCTTTGGGTCTCCTGGGGGTGGTGGCCACAGGACCCTCAGGTTCTCCTGGCCCTGGTGGCCCCGGGGGGTCACGGGTTGGTCAACATTGACGTGGGGTGGGGTCTCCTGGTCCTGCTGGTCCTGTTGACCCACATTTTTGGTGGCCACAAGACTCTATGGGTCTCCTGGGGGTGGTGGCCACAGGACCCTCAAGTTCTTCTGGTCCTGGTGGCCTTGGTGGGCCATGGGTTGGTCAACATTGACGTGGGGTGGGGTCTCCTGGTCCTGCTGGTCCTGATGACCCACGTTTTTGGTGGCCACAGGCCTCTTTGGGTCTCCTGGGGGTGGTGGCCACAGGACCCTGAGGTTCTCCTGGCTCTGGTGGCTCCTGTGGGAAGACCAACCTGGCCATGATGACCCCGGCCTTGCCCGGGTGGCGCGTCCAGTGCGTGGGCGACGACATCGCTTGGATGAAGTTCGATGACGAAGGTGACCTCAAGTTCTCCTGGCCCTGGTGGCCCCCGTGGGCCATGGGTTGGTCAACGTTGACGTGGGGTGGGGTCTCCTGGTCCTGCTGGTCCTGATGACCCACGTTTTTGGTGGCCACAGGCCTCTTTGGGTCTCCTGGGGGTGGTGGCCACAGGACCCTCAGGTTCTCCTGGCCCTGGTGGCCCCGGGGGGTCACGGGTTGGTCAACGTCGACGTGGGGTGGGGTCTCCTGGTCCTGCTGGTCCTGATGACCCACAGTTTTGGTGGCCACAGGTCTCTTTGGGTCTCCTGGGGGTGGTGGCCACATCTCAGGAGGCTTCCTCTGACCACTGGTTCCTCAAGGAGAGATGTGGGGCTGGCTCTCCCGCTGACCCCCATCTGTGGGGTTGGGCCGTAGGTCGCCTTCGAGCCATCAACCCCGAGAGCGGGTTCTTCGGGGTGGCCCCGGGGACCTCGGAGAAGACCAACCCCATGGCCATGGCCACCATCCGGGCCAACACCATCTTCACCAACGTGGGCCAATCCAGCGACGGCGGCGTCTACTGGGAAGGAATCGACCAATCCCTGCCCCCCGGCACCACTTTCACTTCCTGGTTGGGTCAACCATGGAAACCCGGTGAGTTCCTCTGCCCCACATCTCGCCCCACGTCTCAGCCCCATAGGGACCTTCTCAAGATCTTCTGCCCCACATCTTGTAGGTGACCCCCAACCTTGCGCCCACCCCAACTCCCGCTTCTGCGCCCCCGCCCACCAGTGCCCCATCATGGACCCCAACTGGGAGGACCCTCGGGGGGTCCCCATCGACGCCATCATTTTCGGGGGGCGCCGCCCCCAAGGTGAGTCCTTCTGCCCCACATCTCCTTCCTGCCCCACTGCGACCCACACCTCAGGGGATTGTCTTCTCCTCAGGTGTCCCCTTGGTCTACGAGGCCTTCAACTGGCGCCACGGGGTCTTCGTGGGCAGCGCCATGAGGAGCGAGGCCACCGCCGCCGCCGAGCACAAGGGTCCGTGCCCCATAAGTAGCCCCATAAGTAGCCCCATAAGTCACCCCCCAAGTAGCCCCACAAGCCACCCCACCAGCCACCCCACCAGCAACCACCTCAACTTGACCTGGGACCTTCCTGGTGGCCACCGTTGGGTTGGTCGCGGTGGGGTGGGGTGCGGGGAAGGCGTCTACGTGGGGCTGGACCCATAAGTGGGGGGTCTCAGACCCATAGCTACGTCCTACTGGCCCCATAACCACGTTCTTCTGCCCCATAACCACGTTCTTCTGCCCCATAACCACGTTCTTCTGCCCCATAACCACGTTCTTCTGCCCCATAACCACGTTCTTCTGCCCCATAACCACGTTCTTCTGCCCCATAACCACGTTCTTCTGCCCCATAACCACGTTCTTCTGCCCCATAACCACGTTCTTCTGCCCCATAACCACGTTCTTCTGCCCCATAACCACGTTCTTCTGCCCCATAACCACGTTCTTCTGCCCCATAACCACGTTCTTCTGCCCCATAACCACGTTCTTCTGCCCCATAACCACGTTCTTCTGCCCCATAACCACGTTCTTCTGCCCCATAACCACGTTCTTCTGCCCCATAACCACGTTCTTCTGCCCCATAACCACGTTCTTCTGCCCCATAACCACGTTCTTCTGCCCCATAACCACGTTCTTCTGCCCCATAACCACGTTCTTCTGCCCCATAACCACGTTCTTCTGCCCCATAACCACGTTCTTCTGCCCCATAACCACGTTCTTCTGCCCCATAACCACGTTCTTCTGCCCCATAACCACGTTCTTCTGCCCCATAACCACGTTCTTCTGCCCCATAACCACGTTCTTCTGCCCCATAACCACGTTCTTCTGCCCCATAACCACGTTCTTCTGCCCCATAACCACGTTCTTCTGCCCCATAACCACGTTCTTCTGCCCCATAACCACGTTCTTCTGCCCCATAACCACGTTCTTCTGCCCCATAACCACGTTCTTCTGCCCCATAACCACGTTCTTCTGCCCCATAACCACGTTCTTCTGCCCCATAACCACGTTCTTCTGCCCCATAACCACGTTCTTCTGCCCCATAACCACGTTCTTCTGCCCCATAACCACGTTCTTCTGCCCCATAACCACGTTCTTCTGCCCCATAACCACGTTCTTCTGCCCCATAACCACGTTCTTCTGCCCCATAACCACGTTCTTCTGCCCCATAACCACGTTCTTCTGCCCCATAACCACGTTCTTCTGCCCCATAACCACGTTCTTCTGCCCCATAACCACGTTCTTCTGCCCCATAACCACGTTCTTCTGCCCCATAACCACGTCCAACCACCTCGTAGCTCCAGAACTTCACCTTCTATGGTCCCACCAGCCCCATAACCTCATCCAACCACCCCATAACTCCATCTCCTCCACCTTCTATGGTCCCACCAACCCCATAACTGCGTTCCTCTGCCCCATAACTACGTCCCACCACCCCAGAACCCCACAACTCCACCTTCTATGGTCCCACCAGCCCCATAACTACGTCCCACCACCCCATAACCTCATCCAACCGCCCCATAACTCCATCTCCTCCACCTTCCATGGTCCCACCAGCCCCACAACCACCTTCTCCTCCCTCCCCCAGGCCGTCGCTTGATGCACGACCCCTTCGCCATGCGCCCATTCTTCGGCTACAACGCCGGCCACTACCTGGCCCACTGGTTGTCCCTTGGCCACCGCCGGGGGGTCCGCCTGCCCCACATCTTCCACGTCAACTGGTTCCTCCGCGACCCCCAATCGGGTCAATTCCTTTGGCCGGGTTTCGGTCACAACGCTCGAGTCTTGGCTTGGATCTGCAGCCGGGTGGCCGGAGAAGACAACGCGGTGGCCACCCCGGTGGGGTTGGTCCCCAAAGAAGGAGCTTTGGATCTCGGGGGGCTTCCAGGGGTCTCCTACCAGAAGCTCTTCGCCATCTCCAAGAGCTTCTGGGAGCAGGAGGTGAAGGAGTTGAGGAGCTACTACCTGGAGAACTTCGGAGAAGATCTGCCCAAGGACATCATGGAGGAGCTGGAGGCCCTGGAGCAAAGGGTCAAGAAGATGTGAGGTCGCCCGACCCTGCCCGGTGGCCACCAAAAGGGGGGTTGGTGGCCACCGGCGATGGTGGGACGGCGTGGGGTGGTGGCCATCGACGGTGGTGGCCATCAACGTTGGTTGACCATGGGTTGATGGTCATCGGTGTTGGTTGACCATGGGGTTGGTGGCCACCAACGTTGGTCAATCATTGGGTTGGTGGCCACCATCCTTCGTTGACCCTTGAGGGTTGGTGGCCACCATTGGGTTGACCATCATCATCCTTGGTTGACCCTCATGGGTTGGTGGCCACCAACGTTGGTTGATCATTGGGTTGGTGGCCACCATCCTTCGTTGACCACCATGGGGTTGGTGGCCACCATTGGTTGACCATCACCATCCTTGGTTGACCCTCTTGGGTTGGTGGCCACCAACGTTGGTTGACCCTCATGGGGTTGGTGGTCACCATTGGTTGACCATCACCATCTTTGGTTGACCCTCATGGGTTGGTGGCCACCAACGTTGGTCAAACATCATAGGGTTGGTGGCCACCAGCGTTGGTTGACCCTCGAGGGTTGGTGGCCACCAAGGTTGGTTGAACATCATTGGGTTGGTGGCCACCAACTTGGGTTGACCATCATGGGGTTGGTGGCCACCAACATTGGTCGAACATCATTGGGTTGGTGGCCACCATCCTTCGTTGACCCTCATGGTTTGGTGGCCACCACCATTGGTTGACCATGGGTTGATGGTCATCAGTGTTGGTTGACCATGGGGTTGACCGTTGGGGGTTGGTGGCCACCAAGGTTGGTTGACCATCATTGGGTTGGTGGCCACCATCCTGTGCTCCATCTTGGCCACCATCTCAACCTGGTGGCCACCACCCCCATGGTCAACCAATGTTGGTGGCCACCAACTCTTCGAGGGTCAACCAACGTTGGTGGCCACCAACTCTTCGAGGGTCAACCAACGTTGGTGGCCACCACCATTGGTTGACCATGGGGTTGACCGTTGGGGGTTGGTGGCCACCATCCTGACCTGGTGGCCACCCCCATGACTTGATGGCCACCATCCCAAGTTGGTGGCCACCCCCACAACCTGGTGGCCACCCCCCACATTTGGTGGCCACCATCCCGACCTGGTGGCCACCATCCCAACTTGGTGGCCACCATCCCCACGTGGTCCCCACAACTTGGTGGCCACCATCCTGACCTGGTGGCCACCCCCATGACTTGATGGCCACCATCCCAAGTTGGTGGCCACCCCCACAACCTGGTGGCCACCCCCCACATTTGGTGGCCACCATCCCGACCTGGTGGCCACCATCCCAACTTGGTGGCCACCATCCCCACGTGGTCCCCACAACTTGGTGGCCACCATCCTGACCTGGTGGCCACGCCCCCAAGTTGGTGGCCACCCCCCCCTCATTGGCCACCGCCCCCCTGGACCAATCAGCGACGGCCCCGCCCCCTCCCCGGCAGCCAATGGGGATGGATTTGGGGGGAGGGGGAGGGAGGGGAGGAGCCTCCGCAGGGACCAATAAAAGGAGTCGATTGAGGAAACACCAGGGGGGTCACGTGACGTCATTGGGGGCGGGGTCATGTGACGTCGCGGGGGGTGACATTGGGGTCACGTGACATCATTGGGGGCGGGGTCAAGGGGGGGTTCATGTGACGTCATGAGGGG